TGTCCTCGTCCTTTTCTTCTTCCTCGTCCTCGTCCTCGCCCTCGTCCTCGTCCTTGTCCTCGTCCTTTTCTTCTTCCTCGTCCTCGTCCATGTCCTCGTCCTCATCCTCGTCCCGTCCTCTTCCTCGTCCTCGTCCACGTCCTCGTCCTCGTCCCGTCCTCGTCCCGTCCTCGTCCTCGTCCTCGTCCTCGCCCTCGTCCTCGACCTCATCCTTTTCTTCTTCCTCGTCCTCGTCCTCGTCCATGTCCTCGTCCTCGTCCTAGTCCTCGTCCTGGTCCTCGTCCTCGTCCTGGTCCTTTTCCTCGTCCTCTTCCTCGTCCTGGTCCTGGTCCTCGTCCTCGTCCTGGTCCTTTTCCTCGTCCTTGTCCTGGTCCTTTTCCTCGTCCTCGTCCTTTTCTTCTTTCTCGTGCTCGTCCTTGTCCTCGTCCTCGTCCTCGTCCTCGTCCTCGTCGTTGTCCTCGTTGTGGTCCGCGTCCTGGTCCTTGTCCTCGTCCTGGTCCTCGTCTTCCTCCTCGTCATTGTCCTCGTCCTTTTCTTCTTCCTCGGACTCGTCCTCGTTCACGTCCTCGTCCTCTTTCTCGTCCTATTTCTCTTTCCCGTCCTCGTCCTCGTCCTCGTGCTCGTGCTCGTCCTCGTCCTCGTCCTCATCCGCGTCCTCGTCCATGTCCTCGTCCTAGTCCTCGTCCTCGTCCTCGTCCTCGTCCTCGTCCTCGTCCTCGTCCTTGTCCTCGTCCTCGTCCTCGTCCCCGTCCTCATCCTCCTCCTTGTCCTCCTCCTCATCCTCGTCCTCGACCTCGTCCTCATCCTCTTCCTCGTCCTCGTTCTCGTCCCGTTCTCGTCCCGAACTTTTCTTCTTCCTCGTCCTCGTCCTCGTCCTCGTACTCGTCCTAGTCCTCGTCCTCGTCCTCGTTCTCGTCCTCGTCCTCGTCCTCGTCCTCGTCCTTATCCTCGTCATGTGCTCGTCCCGTTCTCGTCCTCGTCCACGTCCTCGTCCTCGTCCCGTCCTCGTCCTCGTCCTCGTCCTTTTCTTCTTCCTCTTCCTCGTCCTCGTCCTCGTCCTCGTCGTCGTCCTTGTCCTAGTCCTCGTCCTGGTCTTCTTCCTCGTCCTCTTTCTAGTCCTATTTTTGTTCCTCTTCATCTTCCTCTTCCTCTACTTCGTCCTCCTCCTCCTCCTTCTACTCGTCTCCCTCGTCCTCGACCTCGTCCGCGTCCTCGTCCTCGTCCTCGTCCCTGTCCTCGTCCTCCTCTTCGTCCTCCTCCTCGTCCTCCTCCTCGTCCTCGTCCTCGTCCTGGTCCTCGTCTTCCTCCTCGTCCTCCTCGTTGTCCTTGTCCTTGTCCTCGTCCTCTTCCTCGTCCTCGTCCTCGTACTCGTCCTTGTCCTCGTCCTTGTCCTCGTCCTCGTCCTTGTCCTCGTCCTCTTCCTCGTCCTCGTCTTCCTCCTCGTCATGGTCCTCGTCCTTTTCTTCTTCCTCGTACTCGTCCTCGTCCTCTTTCTCGTCCTATTTCTCTTCCCCGTCCTCGTCCTCGTCCTCGTCCTCTTCCCTGTCCTCATCCTCGTCCCGTCCTCGTCCCGTCCTCGTCCCCGTCCCGTCCTCGTCCCCGTCCCGTCCTCGTTTCGTCCTCATCCTCGTCCTTTTCTTCTTCCTCGTCCTCGTTCTCGTCCTCGTCCTCTTCCTCGTCCTCGTCCTCGTCCTCGTCCTCGTCCTCGTCCTCGTCCT